TAGAGTAAAATAAAATAAAAATAAAATAATAAAGTAAATTCAAGGAGACAAAAACATCAATCTATTGATAAATTTACATATATGCAATATAAAAAGAAGCTATTAGGTGTGTACACTGATTATATTTACAAGTAACATTGAGTGCACTGAGATGTTTGCTGTATCCTGTTATACAGACAAACAAAGATTACCTGTTCATCAGAGTGATGACACAGGGAGAGAAGCTGTCCATGTGTCTGGATGTTTTGGAGGACAGTGTTCTGCAGCGCAGTCCAGAAGGGAGGAGTTTATTTTGACTTTAATCTTGGAATTCTGACTTTAAAGCTGACTTTTAAAAGTCAGAACTCAAATAAATTATTTTACAGCCTCCCTAATCCTCTTCTGTAGAACTGTGAGCAAAGTGAAACTGACAACGAGTTGCTAAGGTGCCACGAGCGGGTCCTTCTAGACACCTTTGTGTTAAATTTTTCATCAGTTCATCTTTGAACCTTGACAACAACCTTTAATTTAATTAAAGCCTGAATGACTGGCTATTCGTATACAATATTATTATAGTTCCATATAGTATTTATGATTTAACTTCTATGGAATCTACTCATTAATGAAAATATATTCAACAAACTACAAACTTGAATTTATTCAGGCAAATCTACCCATGCTAAATGCAGCATATGTATTTGTATATGTATTTTAAAAAACATGCCCTTAATCACAAACACAGTGCATAAAATCAGAAGCTATCTTGATTGGAATGTGGGCTCCCCCTCTCCTATTTATTTAAACAGTAAGTGGCCCTCACTAGCTCTTCTCTTATCTCTGAATAAAATGTGGCCGGCTGAGCAGTCAAAGCAGAGAGCCAGGGCAGGACCTTTAATCAGAGGCCTGGAACTTCTGATTAAAGGAGGTTGCAGGCCAGGGTGAACCAGACCAGGCCAGGCAGTAGCAGCAGCAGCAGTAGAGCAGATCTGGAGTCAAATGAACTAAACCAGGCTAATTCTATTGCACCATGGCCTCCCTCAGAGGCATAGGGCAGCATGTTCAAATCAAAGCAATAGCATAGCATAGCCATAGCACAGACCAGCCTTATCAAGCTAGGAGTCAGGAATGAGGACTGCATGGAAGAAACTATAGCTTCACTGGCTCAGAACAGCTGATTGGTGTTCTCTGAAGCATGCATTTAATGATTAAGCTGTTATTTTCTACGGTGTCCCCAAGCTCCCAAAATGGTTTACAAGAAAGAATTTTATCTCAGCTGAAAATAGCACGAGTGTTGAGAGTGACACAGTAGAGTGAAGGCATTAATTATCAGGTTCTATGCACATAAATAAAGATTAAAAAGGGTTTGGAATTTGCTCTGCTTTGACCTGTTTTCATTTTTTAGGAATCGATGATTTGCAGATGCAAGACCTAAACAAAATGGAAAATATATACGCAAGAATTTGATTAAAAATTGGTGCAATCTACAGGATGCAGCTGGTGTATGTATTCAGACATGACATGCACGACACATTTTGTTGCACACCATTTTCAATGCACAGGCAGTCTTTGCTAAGCGGGATATATATATGGATGCAGATGTGCTCAGAAGCAGTGACTGAATGGAGGTCAAGATGTCAGTCCTTTGCTCATTAGAAAATGTAACCAAATGGAAAACTTTATGAAGACATATACAATAGGCTGTCATTATTACAAAAAACATCAGCCTACTGAAAGTTATAACCTGGTGTTTGGGCCTTTCATACTCATTAGTTATTTATAGTAAGAGATGCTATAAGCTAATCAAACTGGTACATAAGACCTGGAAACAGCAGCCTGTTCCACAGATAGAAACTGTTATTACAGTGTTATTCCTGAACAACTGTGAGGTCATTTCATGACAGGGTCAGTCCCATTAGCCTGTTCTGGTTCAGTTTGCAGAAAAAAAATTGTCCATTTGTGGCAGAATGTACACACAGTGCTGCATAAGTGCAATATAGTAGAGTGTACATGTAAGTCTCTGTAATGTTACTCTATATCATATCACATTGTCTGTTTTCACCTTCACACATGACACCAACCAAACTGATGTCAACAGCCAGGCACATCTGTAAATTTTAATCTTTGATGTTATAATTATTAAGTACAGCAAACAAATATTAAATAAAGAATGTGGTGATGTAGTTTTTCTTTTTTAAATTCCAATTCTTTTGACAATAAAAAAAAAACACTACTTAAGCATCTGCCTGGAAGGGACCCATGTGTTTAAAATCAAGCCTTATGACCTTTTCAATTTCAGTTTTGAACTTATATTTTGTATGTTCCTGAAAAAAATACAGTAATTAAATTTCCACACAGTAAGTATTCTTGCATAGAAACAGTGTAATATTGCGCAGAAAGTGGGAAGGATTCGGGTTTTTTTTTTATAAGTTCTTCATGTGAAACCCCTGACCTGTGAAAGAGTGACGTTATCTGCCTGATACCAGCATGTGCTTGATAACCCAAAAGGAACAAGATGAGCAGCTGGTAAATCTTATTGTCGTTTGAAGCCATCATCAAACTCATTTGCATACAAATAGGTTTTGAGGAGCTTAAAAATAACAGCCAGATTTATAGTTAGAATATTTACAAAATGGTTTACAAAATGAAAATATAGAAATATTATGACACAGTATCTCTGCTTTTTAAGTGTTACAGTAAAAATCTGACATAGGTGTGCTGTGTATTTAGGGTGGCGTGGACTTCAGCTTACTAGGGACAGATAGTTAAACATTCATTTGAAAATGCCAAACTTCTTCTCACAGTCATTGGTTCAGTCCCTGCTGACACATGCATGACTGCCTATCGCCGCCTATACACTACCACTAATATGGCCACACCTCGTTACACAACAATTGAGCAGCAGTGCATGAATAGTGTCATCATAGGGTGGCCTTGGTGAGGGAACTATTTGTTTTGGCATTAACAATTCGGTGGCTTTTCACCCTCACCACATGCAGGAATGATGATACAATAACTGTACAGTGAACACAGAGATAAGGACAACAGGAATTCGTATATACATAATTTAGCTGTAATCATTTGGCTCAGTAACCTACAAAATGCAGTCTCTGCTGGGTGCACTGGCTCTGAAGACTTATCATATGAGAGTATTTTCTGAATGCTAACACGTGAAGAAAGCTCTCGACATACATCAAGACTGTGTTTAACATGCCTTAAAGCACTTGTCAGCTGCCACTATTACACCCGAGCTCCTGTTATATAAGGCTGTATTCATCTTTGGGGGGGATTTTTCATTAAAGTTGCCCCAAATACGGCTGCTTTTGATGATAATAACTTATTATTGAGGGAGCGGCCAACACTCAGAAGAGCAGACAGGTTGATATGATAACAACTGTTCAGCTATAACATGGAGTGTGTTTTCAGCATATTATGAAATAAAAAGACAGCAAAAATGTATTGAAAGACCATTCTATACAGCACATTCAAATCATACACCTCCCTGTGTTTCTCTCTCAGCTAAACGTGCACAGACAGGTTTTAAAAGGTGTTGATGGATGTCCTCAGAGGGGCACTCGTTCATCTTCATAGATCCCTTTCTTTTGAAGGATTGGTGTCAAAACATTGGCTTCTAATGGATGACTTGTTCAGACAGGACCACAGTTGTGTCTTTGACTGGGTTTTCTGTCTGAAACAATCTGAACTCACACTTGGTGTGTACATTTTGAGCATAAAGCAGGTCTGAAAAGGCCTTAGAAATGCATGCTTCTGATCTGAAGTGATGGCTTGTAGCAAACATGTTGCATTTATGTTGTGATGACAGATGTTTTCTGAAAAGATGAGTGGGCTTATTTTGTTTTGCTGTTTTCTGATCAATTGTGGAGGGTGATAACTAAACCTAACAACATTTTGTCTAAAGAACATAGATTTTATACATTAAGGTAACATATCATTCATTCATTCATTCATTTTCTACCGCTTAGTCCCTGAACGGGGTCACGGGGGTAACATATCATGGTGTGTAATAAATAAATGACAGTAATAAAATCATGCATTTCAAATATGGCTACATCTGATACACGGATAAAGAGATACCCACTTGAATGTCAGAGTTTATAACTTCATAATATTTCTCCACACCTAATCTGCTTGAAGGCCTGCTTTCTGAACTCCTGTTTCAATTTGGCCAGTCCTGTGAAGTCACCTGTTGCCTTTAAATCCTGTGGGAAATACTGCATTCCTTCACTGAGCATTAAGAAACCAACTAAAAAAGTGAAGTGCCCGGTGGCCTCCCAGGACCATAATCTGACCCTGGCAGTGATGAAAAGTACATTTACTCAAGTACTGTACTTATGTGCATGTTTGAGGTATCTGTATTTTCATTTTCTGCTACTTCATACTCCAACTTAACTGCATTTTAGAGGAAAATATTGTAATTTTTTATCGTGCTACATTCATTTGATAATGTTAGTTATTTTCCACAGTCAAAATAATTAAACAAAATACAGTATAATCATAAGACTTTACAGATCCCTGATGGGAAATTCACAAGCTACCCAGCAATAATTCAAATTAACAGCACATAAAATTAGCTTCACCTTTATCAGCTGCAACATACATACATCAATACTGTAATCAGTACTATAACCTAGTGTACATTAATGTGTCATTCTGCATAATAAGTATGTTTACTTTTTGCATATTTTTTTTATTTTTTATGCTAATACTTTTGTACTTTTACTTAAGTACCATTTTGAACACAGGTCTTGGAACAAAGCATTTGTGGTATTTTTATTTTACTTTTATTTAAGTAAAGAATCTGCCTACTTCTTCCACCACTGCCCAGAAGCCCCATGACCTTTCAGGCCACTGCACAGGCCTTTGACCTGTAATCACTCCATTCTTGAAGTGAGATGAACTTTGTTCTGTATTGATAACTGTGGTTGGATCAATACCATTACAAGTCACGCCCGTGAAGCTATAAAATCTGAGTTTCGAACATGACCCTGAAGGCGACAATTCCCGGGATGTTCAGTACCCTCCCAGTCCCCGCCTGGTTCCCGCCGCTGCCTGCTGCCCAGCCTGGCTGCTGGGCTCGGGATGACGCCACCTCTCGCTCCGCCCCGGCGCAAACTCGCTCTTCGCGTTCATTTCATTCCTCCCTCATTCCGAGCATTCTTCGCATCTCTGTCAGTGCGCGAAGCGATTCACCTACACCTGGCCCAGAAACAGCAGAATAACTTGACATAGTGTAAAAAATACCCTGTAACATCACATTACCAAAAGAAAGGGACATTTTTATATGAGATATCAATAACGAGGTAAGTTTCAATGGTAGTTGCAGGTATTCAAACTGGTTGTAGACTTCTGTTCTTGGGGCTTAGTTTACGTGTTTCGGAAATACCGTACAATTTATTAACACGGTGGCTTATTTGGGTGTTTGCTGTTTATCCCATGAAGTGAAGTAGCGTTAAATCGCCCGTTTCCACCGCTGAGAATATATGGCCGATTCTGGTCGCTGTTGCAACAGGATGCTCACTTTGAACACTCACTGTTGTAGCCTGTGGCTTTGACATAGCAGCGAAAATCTTTGACATTTTTCACATTTTTTGAAAAGAAGCCTAATCATACGCCCCTTTAAAAGCCTCAGATGCGGTTTGCCCTGTGTCAGATCCTCAGAAACTCTCAGTTGGATTCAGGATTAACTAAAAATACACTGCACAAATAACATATTTTGGACAAGATGACGGGTGAAAACGTTGCTGTTTTCCTCTCCGTAGTTGGCTCAGCCGGGAGTTGGGGATTTCACCGGCGCATTTTCGGACCACGTCGAAGAAAACACAGTGAAGAGACTTGTTGCTTCCAACACGGTTGACAGCGCTTTTAAAAATCGCCATCGAAGTTTTGTGTAAGTACATTTTGTAATATCTGTTTGTTACCCCTCTCCCCAGTGTGTACGCTGCTCTCCATGTTGTTACTGCAACTCTAACGACACCGACTAAACCGGAGGGAAAGGTTAGCCCGAACTCCTTTATTGTTTAAGGTTGTGAGGTGGATTAAAGCTCCTCTGTGTCCCTTCCCGAGTAACTCAAGTCGAAAAACTACCGGTTTGACAAAAAAAACAACATAGAAAATTGCATTTTTGTAGGGTTTTGTGCTACTTTTAGGGTTTAAAATAGTACATGAGGAGGAAAACTAGCTTAAATTGTTGTTTACCATTCCCTCGTTTTTAAAATAGGCCATCAAAATATATGCAAATATAGCCAAAAATGTAAAGGAAATTTCGCTTTATATAAATCTAGAGCTGCTTGGTGGGGCTTATGGAGCTATTATTTTGGATTTCCTTCATTGTTTTCCTTTCCCTTCCTGTTCTTTGGGAAATGCCTGCTCAGCTAAAACTGAAGTCTCACAACTCTAGTCCAGCTGTGTGTGTGTGTGTGTGTGTGTGTGTGTGTGTGTGTGTGTGTGTGTGTGTGTGTGTGTGTGTGTGTGTGGGGGAGTTGTACATAAACCTCCAATGATCACATCCTCCTAACTTTTTCTGGACTCTGGGAAAATTATAGAGGCCGTTATGCAAAGGCAGGGATGAGAATAATGCCAAAAGCTTTCATTAACCACAGTAAATTTAGCTTAAAAAGTGGGTGTAAACCCTGTTGCACCAAAAGACTGAAAGATCTCCTTATTTGACGCAGACACTGGTTAACTAGTCTCCACCCCCCCCCCCCAAATCAACGTTACTTCCATTAATCGTTCACTTCTTTGGATTGCTTTAAAGCAAGCTGCACAGTTAGGTCATCAGTCCACTGTTTACACAGCACAGATATGTTGCTGTGATTCAGTCAAAGTGTCTTTATACTTATATCTATATTTAGCAGGGGGTTATAAAATAAATGTTCACATCACCTAATTTATTCTGTTTTAGGCTCTCCAGTTTTGCTTTACAGTCTCTCAGCTGTCTGATCTTTCATCATCAGCTTGAGCGAAGTAATTAATAGCCTCTCTAAAACATGATTTTACTGAAAGCTTCTGGTTTGTATTACAGTAACCTTAATAGAAGTGGCACAGCTGAGAAATGGGGTGACAAAAATGACTTGCACAAGCTTTAAAGGGAGGTTCTTGAACAAAATCCATGCTCTGTCTACCACTCAAAGTTTTGGCTGCAGCACTACAGCTTTCCCCCTCCTATGTTTTTAATGTGAAAGCAGCTGGTTAGGGTGAGTTTGCAAGTTCCCTGCAGTTTTCTGCTTTCATAGTAAAATATGCCTTTTCTAACAGTTTGGTCCTGTTTTAACATTTTATGTAACTTTGCAGAAAATGGAGAGACAAAAAAGATACAGAAAATACACAATGTTTTTATTTAATGTGAAAAAGCTTTTTATCATTTCCAGGAATCAGTTTAAATGCTGCCAGACATGTCACAGTGTAAATCTGCTTGCTTGGAAGAAAACAATAATAGTGGTAGAAATGGATGCTTTGTTTTCAGCTTATGCAACCAGTGGACCTGTTGGACAGGGGCCTGCATAACATTTGTGCCAGAATAGGATGTTGTCTTTGTTTGAATGAGACTTAACCTCTGAAACTAGGAGTTTCCAGACTCCCTCTGCTTTTTGATGGAGCGTAATACAGCTCATTAGCTGTAGTTTGTTAAAGAGCTATGGCAACACTGAGCCTATTTCTTTATTTTATTAATTATATTTTTAAATATTTTCCAGTTAGTCATGAGCAAAAATAACTGTTGTTTAAAACTGACAAAAAAGTATGAAATTGTATTATGATGGATACAAGGAAAATTTAAGCAGATGCCGATACATATCTGAATGAAAAAGGTTGTGCTGTTGAGTTGGTTCAGAGGCTACATGTGTACCTTGTTTGTTTGTGTTTTGTGGCTTTACGCTGCCTTGTTGATGTCTGGTATAGGACTACAGAGAGTGTAGTCTGTCCATTTTAAAGTGTGGACAGAATAATGTGCAGAATAATGTGTGAAGTACAGAGTTGGCTGTGTTACTCCTTTTCTTCGGTTGTACAGACTGAATATTGTTCAAGGGTTGTCGATTTTCACAAAACTGCATTTTGGCCAAACATTTATCAAATGTCTTTGTTTGTGTTGGTATTTACAAGGAAATATGGGAAATAATAATCCATGTGTTTATTTTCCAAATCAAAGATTGAACCCGCCAGTGAGCCTGGCATCATGTGCCTACACACACTTACCATATAAATTTTATTATACTTAAAATTCTTTAAGGCTCTTTTTATGATTGTGCAATGGCATGGAAATTCATGCTGTCTTTGCATACAATAAATACAGACAATGACCGTGTTTACCTATGGTGCTTTGACATACATTTATCAGATGTACCATTTAGTGTAGTGTAGGGTTTGAAGTCCATATTGATTTGGAATTTATAAACACCCTTACCTCGACTGATGAGGATACATTGATACTATTAAACTGAAGACTCTTTCAACCAAAGAGGGTATCCAAGCTATCCCTTTAGCCACCCATATGATTGTCATTACCCTGAATTTTAGAATCGTTCCTTATCATTTTGATTAATAGCACATGTGGGAGAGTCATATCTGACTGCTAGAGAGAGACACCTGTGTACTCTCTGCTCCGTGCAACAGGTGCCGTGAGCAGAGATGTATTTATATTTTCAGGATAGCATCTCATTAAAAATATAGCTTGTTAGTTTCCACTT